TTAATATTTTACCAACAAGGGAGAATAAAAGGCATTACATGGTGCTCAAAGAACTAAATTCCACTGACAGCGGATGGCCAAATCTCCTTTTAAAACCATTCTTCTATAGAGGAACCTCATCTTAGTCTGGCAGACACCTTTATTTTACCACAAATCTCGGAGTCACAAATCATTTTCAGGTTACTCATGAGTTTACAGAAATCTTCTACCCAATGTAAACATAATACATTTAATTTACCTGTAGAATAGTTAGTTGTTTTTGTTACAGATTCTTGAGCTTCAGATATAGCCTTCAAAATTAGATTCTTGTTAGCTTGTTTAGAAGGTGGAAGAGAAGGTCTAAAAAAGAAAGCTATTTTTATTAAATTTAAAATTTTTCTTTAAATGCTATCCATCCATTATGCCTTTACTACAGCCTTCTCTAGGTTTTAAACAGACTAGCTGTCGCTTTTAGAAACTAGACTGGAACTTTTTAACAATAATGAATCTGGATCAATATTGCCCACCCCCCTTATTTGATTTTAATATTCTCAGCAATCCTCTCCAATGTTAAACAATTTATCTCATTAATACATGCCTCTCAAAAGCCAATGGGAAAGTCTTACATGTCACTACATTAAATTTTTATTGTCACGATTATCCTCTTCAAGAAAACCAAGACACTCCATCAGGCAGTTAAAGATTAATTTACAGCTATGTTCAGTTACCTCCTTTCAGGCTTTGCTGGCACAGACACGCTGCTGGAGACGCCTCCTGTTCGGGACCCATAATCATCATCTTCTTCCTCCTCTTCTCCATCATGATTAAATTTTTTTACTTTAACAACTGAACTTACCACAGGCAACTTTCTCTTTCGAAAGTTTTCATCCTGCAATCAAATAAATTTATGCTTACCTAATCTCAGAAAATAACAAAGTTCTACCACAGAATATTTTTTCATTTTAAACACACTGCCACACTAGAAAAAAAAATTTTTCCTTGGGGCCAGCATTTTATTATGAAGATAGAATAAAAACTTTGAAAACAAAACAATCCTTTCTAATTTAATGAAAATTCTGTTGTTTTTTTACTGTTTTCTGTGCATGAGTTATATGCAATGCAATCCATGTTTTTAGAATTAAACTGTCAATATTAACTGTAACAATAAGAACATCAACAAGATTTTCACAAACTGACTGCAGGGTTTTGCCCAGGGAGCCACCAATCACTAACACGTACGCTACAGCATGGCAGTGGGAGTTGCCTGCGCGCCAAGTGGCTCCCAAAGAGACGTGTGAGTTATGTGTTTCAAGAGGCCCGGTGCTCAAAAGTAGCATTAAATACAATTCACATGGCAGTTAACATGTTAAGAAAAACCATCCATGTTAAGAATTCACAGGGTATTTGTTTTGTTAAAAAATATAAATATTATCCCAAATAGCCAACCTTTAGCTAAAACAAAAATTAGAGCTTTACATTCATTTTATTAACAGCTGCATATAGCATGGTTAAGAAAACTAATAAAATGGAGTTACTTGGTTGCTTATTAGCAGTTACCAAGAACAATCTAAAACTGACCTAACCCCCCGCCTCCCTGCCAAAAATATGAGGTTAAAACTATCTCAAAAGCTAGAAATCCCAAGAAGGTATACAGATGTGATAGGAAATATCTCTAGGAGCCAGTGATGGAGAGGAAAATCTGGTGTATTATACTGAGTAGCAGAGAAATCAGTTTAAAATAAATTTGAAATATGTGGTTAGTTACTTCACATACTATTTGGTATTAAGAACTGCTAATTTTCAGCCTAGCTAGACAGAATTTAAAAGTATATACAAACCTCAATACTCATTTTTTCTGAGTTGTTTCTAAAGAAGGGGCTATAAGTCTCTTCTAAGCTATTAAGCACTTCTGGTTCACACAAATGTCCTGTTTCATACACCCGGCTGTTTTGTATATCAAGTTGCTTGGCAGCATGAATACTGTTTTGCTGCTGTTGAAATTGCATTCTGTTTAAATGAACACCACTATCTGCATTTCGACTTGCAGGTGGACGATAAATTTCAATAGAAGGGCGAGAAGAACCATATGTAAGTGTCACTGTAGGCTTTTTCTGAGATAAGGGATTCTCCTGCACAAAATTGAGGTCTTCATCAATGAGATCATCTGGTTCTGGCTTAATATCAATCACATCTTCAGAGGGTGCCGGTTCCCTCAAAGGTTTCACTGTTGACATTAGCCGGGTTGCAGCTCCATCATCGTAAGTCTGTCTATTTAAAAAAGGAACAAAACATATTACAAATAAATCAGAGCAATTATCACCAAATCTTCAAGGAATGTTTAAAAATTTTAATGAGGCTGGTCTGAGTGCAGTGGTATTTACAACTAATTGATCACAACCAGTTACAGATTCCTTTGTTCCTTCTCCCCTACCACTGC